TGCCTCTGACCATATCACTTGCAGCCTAGAATCCCTCTTTGAATCCAATCCAGTTGAGAACCAATTTTTTACTTACCTAATGGCTCTAAGGTTGCTGTGAGTCATATAGGTAGATTTAGATTGCCTTCAGGATTAGTCCTTGAGAATGTTCTCCTAGTGCCCAGTTTCTCTTTTAACCTTGTTTCTGTGAGCAAGCTTACAAATGATTTGCCCATTTCCTTACATTTTCAATCTGACTCTTGCCAAATTCAGGACCTAATGACCCTCAACAGGACTGGTTTGGCAAAGCAGATTAGAGGGCTCTACCAACTAAACTTCAAGACTTCCCCATCCTCTTCATCACCTCAAACACAATCTCAGGCAGCTGCTGTCTACAACTTCTCCCACCAAAACTTTGACCTATGGCACTGGAGACTTGGGCACCTTCATAAAGAGAAAGAGAAACTATTAGTTCCCTGTAATAGGAATCCTAGTTTTCATTGTGAAACCTGTCATTTTGCCAAACATAAAAGGCTTCCTTTCCCTGTTAGTTCTTCTCATGCACAGGATGCTTTTGACCTTATTCATGTGGATATATGGGGTCTACTTGCTGTTAAATCTCATGAAGGATACTCTTATTTCCTAACTATTGTTGATGATTAATCAAGAGGTGTTTGGACCTACTTGATGAAGCACAAGTCAGAAGCTAGCCATCTGTTAGAGTCATTCTGTGTGATGGTTTCTAAACAGTTTTCCAAACATGTTAAAATTGTTAGAAGTGATCGGGGAGGTGAGTTCCATATGGCAGATTTCTATGCTGCTAATGGGATAGAACACCAGTTATCAAGTGTGGAGACCCCTGAACAGAATGCAAGGGTTGAAAGGAAACACCAGCATATTTTGAATGTTGCTAGATCTTTGAGGTTCCAATCAGGTGTTCCCCTTCAATTCTGGAGTGATTGTGTGCTACATGCTGTTTATCTCATTAACAGAATCCCCACAACTGCCCTAAACAACACCTCACCCTATGAACTTCTTTACCATAAGCCACCTACTCTTTCTGGCCTAAGGGTCTTTGGTTGCTTATGCTATGCTGCCACCTTGCATAGAGACAGAACCAAGTTTCAAACTTTTTGACCTCAATTCTCACAATTTTGTCTCTAGAGATGTCACTTTCTATGAGACTATCTTACCTTTCCACATTTCTTCCACTTCTTCTACTACACCTACTCTCCTTCCAAATCCCATTTATCCTGTTTTGGCACCTCTTTCTCCAGACACCACTCCACCCAGTAGTTCCACCCTTCCTCCCTCATTTCCTGTTCCTCCTTCTACTTCCCAGAATGCTCCCAGTTCTACTCCTATTCCTTCTTCTTCTTCAATTCCACCCTCATCACAACACACTTCCTGGTCTGAGTCTCCTGGTTTGCATTCTGTGGGGGGGGGGGGGATGCTGAGATAGAAGTTTTCCCTGATCACAATGATACAGATGAAGCTGAGTTTATCAGAAAGTCCTCTACTAGAACTGTTCCAGTTTGGCATAAGGCTTATGATGTTAATATTGCTGCTTCATGTTCAAAACATCACATCGGGAAAACTTTCACCTATGAGCATCTTACTCCTGCACAGAGATCTTTTGCACTTAGTGTTATGATGAATGTGGAACCTACTTCTTATGCTGAAGCCTGTAAGGATCCAAGATGGAATCATGCTTGTAATGAAGAGCTGACAGCTCTGGAAGAGAACCAAACTTGGGAAGTTGTGAAGTTACCTGAGGGTAAGAAGGCTGTAGGTTCCAAATGGGTGTTCAAGATTAAGCACAAGTCTGATGGAACCATTGAGAGATTTAAATCCAGGGTTGTTGCCAAGGGATACACACAAATCTATGGGATTGATTTCCTAGACACCTACTCACCAGTTGCTAAAATTAATTCTGTGAAAACCTTGTTGGCAGTAGCAGCATCAAAGGAATGGCACATTCATCAAATGGATGTCTCCAATGCATTTCTGCATGGAGACTTAGAAGAGGAGGTTTATCTTGAAATACCTCCTCGAGCTAGTGTTCCTAGAGGTAAGGGTCTTGTTTACAGACTTAAAAAGTCCCTCTATGGACTCAAGCAGGAAATGGTTTGCCAAGCTAACCACTGCTTTGATGAAAAATGGATATTCCCAAACATCTTCAGACTATTCTATGTTTGTAAGATGGATTCAGGGCAGGATTGTGGTTGTTCTTGTGTATGTTGATGATATTCTTATTGCAGGCAGTTACTTAGGTGACATTGAATAGTTGAAATTGTTTCTTGGGAAAGAGTTCAAGGTCAAGGACCTTGGTCAGATGAGTTACTTCCTGGGTCTGGAAGTATTGAGGGATCATAAAGGGATCTCTTTAAGTCAAAAGAAGTACTGCCTGGAATGGATTACTGATGCAGGGTTTATTGAAGCAAAAGGGTGTCTTTCTCCTGTTGATTGCAACTTAAAACTGACAGCTACACAAGGAGAAGCCTTGCCTGATCCTACTGTTTACAGAAGGTTGATTGGGAAGCTCCATTATCTTACAATTACCAGGCTTGATATCACTTATGCTGTCCAGCAGTTGGCTCAGTTCCAAGGCACACCAACTGTTGTACATCTTCAAGCAGCACACAGGGTTATCAGGTATCTTAAACACACACCAAGACAAGGTCTTATTTTCAGGTCTGATTCAAAATTGGAATTGTCAGGGTTCTGTGATGCAGATTAGGCAAGTTGCCCTGATTCCAGGAGGTCTTTGATTGGTTATTGCACCTTCCTGGGAACATCACTCATCACTTGGAAGACGAAGAAGCAAACCACTGTGTCTCGCTCATCCTCTGAAGCTGAATACAGAGCTCTGGCACAAGTGGTTTGTGAAGTACAATTGCTTAGAAATCTGCTGTTGGAAATGGGAGTTCAGGTTCCACTGCCAATCCCTTTGTTTTGTGACAGCAAATCAGCCTTGCATATTGCAGAAAATCCCGTTTTCCACGAAAGAACGAAGCACATCGAGATCGATTGCCACGTTACAAGGGAGAGGCTGAAGTCTGGTTTGATAAAGCTGAGTCATGTAAGAACTGATGATCAAATCGCCGACATCTTCACCAAAGGCGTCACTCGCTATCGACTGAGGTTCCTCTTGGACAAGCTGGGAGTCTTCAATGCTTACTCGCCAGCTTGTCGGGCGTTTCAATCCAGGAAGAAGAAGACGAGTGACTGCAACGGCTATTTACAGACAGCTCAATGTTTGAACAAGAAACGAATCAGGCAGAAACGTTTCGTTTCTGCCTTCCCCTCCATCTAGTGTTTCAACGAGTGCCAAAGCGACGTCGTGGAGGTGTTCTGTGTAACGTTAGGTGGAGTCACGAAGGCCAACTAGACGAAGACATCTGGCGTTCATTTATTTACTGCATTTCGAATTTCAGTTTAACAGACATTTCTGTTTTTACTGTTCTGTAACTTTACCTTTCACTTTCGGTATAAATACAGAGTAACAAGGAAGAATCTCTTCCTTGCGAGTTTCTCCCATTTCTGCACCGCCTTTCATCTTCTTCTTCTCTCTGAAAACCCTACAAACCCTAAGCTCGTAGAGCTTTTTTCATTGAACATGGACAAATTTGGAGATTTGAAAGGCGCCGATCGATTTAATTGAATTGTAAGGGGGTAAATCTCACTACGGGAAAAATGGCCTCTTGCAACCCAAAAAATGTGTTGCGTAAAACCTTAAAAGAGTTGCAACATCCTAACGCAACACTTTTACAAGAGTTGCGTATAGTGGGGGTTGCAAAAGGAATACGCAACCTTTTTTCCATTTTTGGCAACCAAAATAAAAAGTGATGCGTATAATTACGTTTTACGCAACACAACTTTAGGCAACACATTTTTTAAATTTTGCAACACATTTTGAGAACATAGCCAACGCTTTTTACGAATTTTTCGCAACGTTTAATTTTAATTTGTGACGAGTCGAGTTCGTCACAAATGATCAATCCATTTGTGACAATTTCGTTTGTCACAAATGCTAAGATTTGAGTGACAATCTCGTTGTCAATAGAGATCCTTTTTGTGACGAGTTGTTGGCGACACAAAAATGCCAACGATGACGTCTTTAATTGTCACAAATAATTATCATAAGTGACCATAGTTTTGTCACTAATACACTTTCTGACATTCACTGTATTTTGTAGGGTAGGGTTTTGTTGTCATTGAAGTTATAATTTATGACGATTTTTATTGTCACGTAGGCAACCCTTTATGTGACGAATTTTTGGTTGTCACTCATAATGTATTTATGTGACTATATGATTGTCGCAATAGAATCATTTTGTGACAATATTTTCATCACGGAAGCAACATAAGCAAGACGACTTATTCACGATAGTAATTATTGGTGACCCGTATTTCATCACAAAAACCTAGCTTTGGTGACAATTATGATCCTCACTTAATACAACATTGGTGATAAATTGACTTATCACAAATGTTTTTCTTTTGTGACAATGAAATTTTTGCATTTGTTTGTTTTAGTGACAATGGTTGTCAGCATAGACATTGTAGATTGCATTCATTAGTGACCAACTTTTCATCACCAGATGTATCTATTATGACAAATATGTCGATCACAAAAGCGAAGGATTGGTGATAAATTAACTTGTCATGAATAATTTCATTCTATCACAACAAAATTATCATATTAGTCTCTTTTTGTGACAAAGATTTCCGACACAGATATACCAAACGTGAGATTAACCTGCGTCGCACATGAGCACATTTTGTGACAAAAATTTTGGGTGCTTGTCTCTAAAAATAATTTTCATATAGAGAAAAACGGTCATTAAAATAATAATACCGAATTCACTAGATAATAGGAAAATAGCGTCAAACTACAATTTTGCTAGTAACAACTTGAAATAGTATTTCTAAACAATCAAAACCATAAACAAGAAACTAACGAGGTTGTGGTTTATCGAACATTAAGTTCATAGACTTCATTTCGGACGCAATAATTGTCTCATGTCTTCCTCATGTTGCGCTTGGAGGTCAGCAAACTTCTGTTCCCATTTCTTATTTGCTTCTTCTAATTGTGCATCGAACTGTTGTTTTAACTCTTGATAGATCTCCTTTATTATTCCAGCTCTAACTTCTTCCCCGACTAAAATGATTTTTGGTCTCTTAGCACGTCGAGATGAGGGCTTGCCCTTGGCTTGTAGTATTATCTCTTTGTTAGACAACAAAGTTCCAAAGTTAACGATCTCTTTTATTTTTTCCTGTAAAAACAAAATTTGAACTCCAATTTTAGTATTTCAAAATGAAATGAATGTAAATATAAAACATCGAACAAAACTATAAAGAAAGTTTACTTACATAAATTGCTTTTGATGTCTCATCACACCACACCATCTCTCCTTTGTCATTCTTTTTCATATGCTGAGCACGCCAAACTTCGTCGGCAGACTTCTCAATCCCAGTTTCTGGATCTATCTACAATTTCAATGTCATCATTCAGCTCAAAGAATGTTAATAAAACAAAAAATGTGGTATAAGGTTGAAAATATAACTAAATATTAAGTAAAAAATATAGATTCATTACCATATAGAATTCAACTTCATCATGAGATCTTGAACCACAAGCGTTCTTTAATTTCACTTGGGATCTATTTTTTTTATTTATATCACTTTTTTCTGTCAAAGTCAAAGGTTAATATTAATGAATACTAATATAAATAAATGTACTAAAGAAAAAAATACACAACACGACTATATAATTCATTCTAAGACGTGTACTTACTTTAAATGGTTCGGATTTCCACTCAGCAACAACATCTTTCCAGTCTGCACTATCAACGCCTTCAGGAACGTTACTCTCCCTTTGACTTTCATCTATCCCTTGAATTTTTTTGTGCATGTTGTAACGCATGGTTGAATATGCCTTTTTGAATTTCTTCGATATAAAATATCTAAGCTTCTCACTGCAATTGCTCTTGAATTTATCCTGTAGACAAATTAGCCCAGTAATATTACACACTGAAAAATATTTTACATTTGCAACTAATATATTAACCAAAGAAAGAAAAATGTAAAAAGATCGTACCTCCACTAAAGAGCACAGTTTATTGCGAATTGCTTCCTCCACGTCATCCCAACTCTTACTGCTCAACTTAACATGTTTTCTCACAACCACCCCGCAAAAATTAACTAGTTGTCGAGCATTCTTACCTACAGCTTCTGTCCCTGTTTTGGGAAAATAAACCTCTAGCTTATCCCCGTCTTTAGTGGCCAGGACAACTTTATTGCAAGTTGTGACCCCCCTCTTATTCTTTACTGAAATAATAAATATGAAAATGTAAAAACGAAGTCAAAATTTGTACCAAACTAACAATTATCTGAATTACGAAGAAAGTAAACAATAATGAACAACAAACAAATCAAATAGAAGATTATAGCAAACCAATTATGTATAATGCCCACTACTGTTGGCCCAAAGAAGAAAACAAACCAAATAGCAAAAGTATTTTTAAATGCTAATTTTAAAAGAGTCATGATTCAATCAAAAGAATTAGTCAATGTCTCTGGCTAGGATACGTAGATAGTTTTCAAGAACAGAACATAGGTATATGCAAGAGGAGGATAAAAGCCTCTCAGAGCTCGCCAAAGTTCACCTAGATTTGGTTGATCATTGTGACTTGTGATGTTATGAACAAGAACCGATGTTAATCATTATAATCTTTGTCACCTATATGCGTAACAGAAGCTCTAATTATTTTTGGAGCAAACAGAATAACAACAACTCTGTTTACCATTATATTTTCTTTAGGCGATTCATGTGCTGGCTAGGCTGGAGGAGCAAATACGGTGTCGTTGGCGAAAAAACTAACAAAATACTCGGTACCTTTTGGATAGGGGTGGCAGTTCGGTTATTTCGGTTATAACCGAAAACCGATTGGTCGGTTATCGGTTAACCGAAATAAACACTCCCCTTACCGAAAACCGACCGAAATAGGCTTCGGTTTCTCGGTTACCTCGGTTATCGGTTAACCGAACCACTTTTAAGACCAAAAACTATTTTGATCAGCTTCCGATAACCGACCGAAGTTCGGTTACTTCGGTTACCGGTTAGTGGATAACCGGACGGTTATCGGTTTAACCGGTCGGTTAACCGATAACCGGTAACCGAACTGCCACCCCTACTTTTGGAGGCTCAGAATCAATTCCAGAGGACGGTACAAATGACAAGCCTTCTCGCATATTCTCTACATCCATTTGTGTTTCATCCGAATCGTATCCAGTCTCAGGAGTTTGCGAGCGTGTCTCTTCTGTATCATAATCAGAGTCTAGCCTTCTCTTCCTTCTTCTTGTGTAAGTGGCACAGCCGGTGCTCATTGCTAGCAAAACAGAAAATAAAGGGAAACTTCGAATCATACAATAGGAGAGGCGCAAGTTGATGTCATTGTATTGATCAAGAAAAAAACAAAAAATAGAACACACTCACAAGGTGCTCTTGGTGAAGGTTGGGAGCGGCTAAAAAAGAGAAGAGTATGGAAGCCTATGAATAAAGAAGGGTTTGGTTATGATTCTGCGTGGGAAACTAGGTTGAAGGCAAGAAGGATATTGCTTTTTAATATTATATTCCGGTAGATATTATCAATCACAAAGATAAATTAAGGTATAATTAGATAATTAGGGTATGAAGGAAAAAGTAGACGGAGCAAATCTTGTTAGTTAGCATAATTATATTTTCTCTCCTCATAAAGACGTGTCATACCATTATATATCCTTCTTAATTAGACATTTTACCACTGCAGCGATTTCTTCTAAATGTTCCTTTAATTTAATTTTCTCAGATTATAATAATAATATTTTAAAAACAAAGATTATAATGATTAACATCGGTGCTTGTTAATAACATCACAAGTCACAATGATCAATCAAATATTTTTAGTACGTAGCTAGTTAAATAAAAAAACTCGTCCAATACTAGTCTATCACTAATATAAGTATGTATTAGATGTGTGCAAAACTTTCAGTCAATTCACATACTATTAGTAGTTTAAAAGTGATCCACAACACTTTGTATGTAATAAGATAATAAATTATTCGCATAATATCATACTGCTAAGTCAAATATAGCATAGCGTGCAAAATTTAGTGGCAAGAAGGAGCATATTCTCATATTACGGATTATGAAATTGGAGGTTTCAAATGTTAACTAGACTGACATTACGTTCCAGTTACGAAAAGGGATAAGACTTTCAAGTGTTCGCACTGACCAGTTAGGGGAGACGGGTTTAGGGGTGAAGCGCTCGATTGGGGACTTGGAGGTGCAACACTCTCTATTCAATGGTTTATGGGCTCATACACTTCTAGTTTTATGTTTTGGTTCTTAGCCCTACTACAGGATGCCCATGTTATGAACAAGGGTTTGATTGGTACCTAGCTAACTATAGTGGCAAGAAGGAGCATATTATCATATTACGTATTATAAAATGCGAGGTTTCAAATGTTAACTAGACTGACATTGCATTCCAGTTAGAAAAAGGGAGAAGACTTTCAAGTGTTCGCACTGACTGATCAGTGAGATGGGTTTATGGCTGAAGTGCCCAACTTGTACACTCATCAGTTTCCACACATATCCACCCGCCCGTCGCATTGTCATCACCAGTTATCATATACATAGCCCTGTGTTTGTGGCAGACTTTGCTGTTCGTACTTTCATTTCGATTTATGGTGCAAAACTTCCAGTTCTTGTGAGAGGCCTTTTGTTTGGCAATGAATCAATAATGCTCCCAAATATGGATCCATTTCATGAATGCTAATGCTCTTAGTGGGTTATGAACTATTCCAGCCTATATATATACATACTAGTTCGGCTGGTGCAGATTTTGGGTCCTGTAATTGCAGAATTTTCTGCAGCTAAGGGTCTGGAGTTGCCAAAGGTTCATAATTTTCTTTCACACTGCTGTAATCTGTGTGAACCAGTTCTCAACAGATGAATTCTGGTTTTCTTTAGATGGATTGAAGCTGTTTTCTGCATAATTAACATGGGGTTTCAGTTATGGTTCTGTTCTCTTCACAGGAAACCTAAAGCACAAAGACTTGGTGGGGCAGGTGGTTAGCTCATGCAGCAAAGTAATGGTTCTACAAGTTGAAACACCATTGTTAAATTAAAAATATATATCATTTAATAGACTTTTACAACTAAAGGTCCTTCACGGCCATTCTCAAATGGATCCATCTCAAAAAATGACAAGATTTGTCCACTAAATAAATGACTTGGGAATCTTTGCATCAGGAAATACCTCGTTCAATAAAGATAAGAGTGAATCAAAAGAGGAATTACTCCATCCATGCATGCACTTTAGAAGATATATTCGAATGGTGAATGACAGCTTGGAAAACTTTTTGCAGCCCGGGTACAAATCTTGATCGGAGGCGTCTAGTAGACTGAAAAAATGTCTAGTATTTCCATCTGGCTCTCCGCTACCATTATCATCAAGAACTTCTCTTAATAGACCAAGCATATCATCTTCTATCATATCATCGTTGTGGCCATCTTGATCTTCTTTCTCTCCATGGAAAGTCCAAAATGTGTATTTTTTTCACGAACCCATGACAAATCAGGTGCTCGTTCACGACATTTCTTGTTTGCCAAAATATATTCTTACACTTCACACAAGGACAAAGGATCTCATTCCCCTCGGCTGAATTAGAAAAGGCGAAGTCCAGAAAACTCTCTACTCCATTAAGATAGGCGGTACTTGCTCGTGGTTTCGAGAGCCAACTCTTGTCCATCTTCAATATATAAAATGCAAATGAAATTACCAGAATTAGTGAGTTTATACACACCAAGAGGTAATGAACACATAAGATACAAAGAGGTAAGCTGCAATTTTCAGCAGTTAACAATTCAAATAAGCATAAGCACTACACATAGAGATAGCAAGATTACTTTATATGCTATAGCATTAACTAATGAGAGATTTCTGCGAGTGATTACAGTAACTCAAAGCAAAAGACTAGAGGATAAAGCTACTTTGAAATGAAGTTCTGTCAATCATAATTGCAAGCACCCCACAAAGTTTAACTAAACATCTAATAATACAATGCATTCAGTTCATGAAAAGTGTTCTATCTAAGCTTGGAAAACTTGCAGCAGCACATGCTTTTACTTATGTTGCATTTTTCTTGTAGGCTGCAGCTTTCACCAAATCCACATTCTATTTTTCTGTTTCTATAATTTTCCTTCACAAAGTAACTCACCTTGTTGTATCGACTTTGAACACAGATTCTTTTGCTTAATTTTGAATGGGACAGTACCAGGTTCAACTACTTACAAGCATGAGCAGCACCACCATTGAGCAAATGAATATAAAATACACTACATCTTCTGAGATCATTGCAAGCTATGGTCTCCTACACAGTGGCAATGGCTGGTCAGAATGGGTACCATCACCAGACTGCGTTGAACAAGAAGATCTACAGGATTGTAAAGGCTGGTCGGGACAGCCACTCTGCAAGATTGATTATAACAAGACGATGAATGAGATGACATCAATGGGAGGATTTCCACACTACAGGTGGTGAAGGAAGATTATATAATGATAAAGTTACACTCTGAACTAGTTGCAGCCTTGATTAACTTGCTTTTATTTGGTACTTTCTTGTTATATTTCCAAGGCCTCAAT